ATAAGTGTTATTGTTACCTTACAGATGAGGGCGTACATGCTGAATCACTTCAGTCCTGTGTGACTCTTTTCGACCGTATGGACTACAGTCTGCCAGGCTCCTCTGTCCTTGGGATTCTCCAGGCAATAATACTGGAGTGGGTTACCATGCCCTCCTCCAGGAGATCTTCCTGACCCAGGTATTGAACCTGAGTCCCTTACATCTTTTGCATTGGCAGGCAGGTTCTGTATCTCTAGTACCACCTTGGAAGCCTGACAGATGAGGGCACTGAAGGACAAATCTCAAGATTTAATAAGTAACTTGCTCACACACGGAGTGGCTGAGCTGGGCTCTGAACCCAAAGTGCTGCTTCTATTTCCAGCTCTAAATATCATGGATGCAGGATTAATACAAACTGCTGATAAGCAACACTTCACATAGTTTCTCATTGTAAACCCTTCATGTAAAATGTTTCTTTAATGCACTTGTCTAGGAATTCTAATTAAATACCATGAAGGAGGTAAGAAAGAGCATCAGGCTCCAATATACTAATATGAAAACAAATCTCAAATAGGTCAGTTAACTTCCTCCATGAGAAAACATAGCTTAGGATCATAGCTTCTGTTTCCCAGAAGGATTCCAATTTCCCAATAATCTACAGAAATGCAGAGAGAAATAAAGAATTATTCTCACTGATTTCACTCCTTTGTCTAAAGAAAAATGTTGGAGTTGAGACCTGCGTCATTTTATGGCACTAGATTTGCGTAGAGATCGGCCACGCCTGGTCACTGCTGCTCTCGATCCTGGTCTGAGAACCACTTAGTGGCTCAAAGTCATTTTTGTCAATTTTCTGAGTGTGTGTTGGTTGTGTGTGTTCCAAGTTGCCCTGGTGCTTGCCCAGCCGGCTTTCCATCTCATGGAGACATTCCCACTCTGAGAAGGTCATTTATTTACATGTCTGCATTCCTGAATTCGCCATCAAGTCAGTTAAGAAGCACTGAAGGCAGATGTCAGAGCTGTCAGAAAATGGGACCCTGGAAGAGGGTGTGCTCTTTCTGAATGATGACAGTGCGGGGAGCTTAGAGAGCGGGTGTGCAGAAACTAAAACCTCTCCTGGCTAGGACAGCACCTGACTGCTGGGTCTAATGCAGAACTGTCATGTTAAGGGAAGTTAGTCTTAAAAGCCCTTCCATTCCAAAGTTTCTTCTTTATCCACAGCTCAGACTGTGTTTTCAAGCCTCCCAGACAGGCGTCATCTTGGACCCCGTGATAGCCCTGTTCACCGGAGATTGCCCCCATCAGTTCACTGTGTCTCTCCAACTAACCATGGGGTCCTTGGTGGGTCTTATTCATCTCTATCCACAGAGCTCAGTGCACAGCCAGCCCATTTGGGTCACACAGTACTGGGCACGAAATGGTAACAGAAACAAAACCTCATGTGGCCCCAGTCAAAGGGAAACAATGATTACCTGGCAGTTATGTTCAAGTTGCAGGGCCCATTTTCACCTCCAACCAACCTGTCACTTGCCCTTTTGGCAAGAGGTTTATAAGCCCTCTCTCCACTGCTGCATGACAAATAGGATGACATGGTACATGGGGGCAGACGGCAGGTAGTTGAGGGACTCGAAGATGATGAAGGGATGCTGGTGGACGGTGTACCACGTGGACTGGAAAAGATCAACACCCGAAACAGTGAGGCTACATTCTCCGTACTCAGGGTGGGCTCAGACCCTACTCTTGGTGAAAATGCCGAGATTTTCCTGAAGGCAGCGATGAGGCCGTGACACAAGCAAGAGACCTGTCCCCCAGGTAGGGCTGAGGAAAGGACAGTGGGAAGCATGGGAAAGGAAGGGCCAGCGGAACCAGGGAAAAGGAAGGAGAAAAATTCGGATCTACAAAAACCGAGACAGCCCTCTGAGTACTGTAGGCTAAGGGTTGCCAGCAGTTCCTCACTGAGGAGGGGCTGAATGTCACCAGCAGGGTCCTGCTGTGAGGTGACTGCACCTGCATATAATTATGTCTTCCATTCATCAAACAGTAAGCCATACACACTTCCCACCCCCTTGCAAGGATGAAATTAATCCTTTTAATATTTTCATTACTCCCCTGGTGCTGGATCTGAATCCTGTGGATTTGACAGCTATTTTGGTCCTGATCCTGCAGTTCGATCTGGGTAGGAGTTGGTTCTTAATGAAGCCTATTCGTCTGTGTGTGTGCTCTGGTTAAACCTGTAACACAGCAGGTATCCCATTGTTGTTCAGTGGATGAATGAATTTGGCTCAGGTTCTTTATGCTATCGCTGGTCAAGCCTCTCCACCATGCCCATTCAAGACCTTCTATCCAAGGCTAGTGCCCCCTACTCTGAACCCATCTGTCTCTAATATTTTTTTAATATTAAACAAAAGGCTAAGCATTAAGGAATCAGGGTACAGTTCACAGTACATCTCTGCTTTGTCGCTTCACTGAAAAGAGAAATAAACCTCTTCAAAGGAGTAGCTGAAATGGCTGAAATTCATTCCATCCAATCTTTCCCTCAAGTTCAAGTTAAACAGTGATAGATTCTGTTTTGGTTTCCCTAATTTCAATTCCCCAGATAGGAAACCATCTGCCCTGATGAACATGATATATCTCTGGAATTGTGTGTGGTGGAAAGAGAGGGCCTGCTTGGGTAAGGTTGACTGTGAATTTCTGGTGTGAACCAACCACACTAACTATTCAGCTGGAGGCACCAGTGTTGAGGACTGGTGCACAACCAGCTGACTCTACCTTCAGGCTCACACAACCCTGGATTTGGATCCTTGTTCTAATACTTTCTACCTGTGGCACCTTGGGCATGCTCCTCAATGTTTCTGAGCTTCACTTTCCTCATCTATAGAATAAGGTATTATAACGCCTATTCAACAAATAGCTCATCTGAAGTCATAGTATTACGGGAAGGAATCTCATCAATAGACTTACCCAAAGGTAAGTTAAGATTTTAACTTAAAGTTCTAGATCCTTGTGTGACTTCCCAGATGGTGTAGTGGTAAAGAATCTGCCTGCCAGTGCAGGAGACGCAGGAGATGTGGGTTCGATCCCTGAGTTGGGAAGAGCCCCTGGAAGAGGCAATGGCAACCCACTCTAGTATTCTTGCCTGGAAAATCCCATGGACAGAGGAGCCCGGTGGGCTACAGTCCACAGGATCGCAAAGAGTCAGACACGGTTGAGTGACTGAGCATGCACAACACTAGATCCTTCCAAAGACATTTTAGGGGGGCTTGGTAACTTATTCCAGGGAATGAAGCTCTGATGGGGGTACAGGGCACTCAAGGTCTTGGCTAAATCACGCTCGTGAGTCAGAAGATCAAGAGCTCCAAAATCAACAGAGCTAAGAGGGTGGGCCCCAGAAACAGGGAGAATAGGATATGACAGGCACTGTTCTTAGGACTGGAGATCCAGTGGTATATTGAGATAATCAAACACTTACCCTCATAGAGCTTATATTCTACTTGGGAGAGGTGGGTAATAAACACTTATATTTTTAAAAATTTTTTTTATTTTACTTTTTTTATTAGTTGGAGGCTAATTACTTTACAATAGTGTAGTGGTTTTTGTCATACATTGACAAGAATCAGCCATGGTTTTACATGTATTCCCCATCCCGATCCCCCCTCCCACCTCCCTCTCCGCCCGATCCCTCTGGGTCTTCCCAGTACACCACGTCCGAGCACTTGTCTCATGCATCCAACCTGGGCTGGTGATCTGTTTCACCCTAGATAATATACATGTTTCGATGCTGTTCTCTTGAAACATCCCACCCTCGCCTTCTCCCACAGAGTCCAAAAGTCTGTTCTATACATCTGTAAACACTTATATTTTAAATATATGATATGTCAGCTTAGGGCTTCCTGGGTGGCACTACTGGTAAAGAACCTGCCTGGAAATGCAGGAGATGTAAGAGACACAGTTTCGATTCCTGGGTCAGGAAGATCCCTGAAGGAGGGCATGGCAACCCACTCCAGTATTCTTGCCCAGAGAATCCCATGGACAGAGGACCCTGGTGGGTCACAGTCCATGGGGTCACAAAGAGCTGGACACGACTGAGCAACTTAGCATGCATGCATGGTGTGTCTAAAGGTGTCTAAACAAGAGAAGTTTTCTTTGGTAGGGTGGTGCTGAGTTTTACAGTTTTAAACAAGGTGGTGAAATATGCCTTCCTGAGACAGTAACATTGGAGCAAAAACCAAAGGAGACGAGCATGTCTCTAAAAGGTAGTGGGCAGCCTGGGTGGGGGCTGGGCAGCCTGTCCACTTCCAAGCCAGTGGACAAGGGGTAGAAAAGGCTCCAGCCTCAGTCCCTCTGTCAGTGCCTGGTGACATCAGAGAGAGCAAAGGGCAGTCTCTGAGCTAATGATGTTTTGTGTTTATTTGTATTTGGTTGTGCCATGTCTTCGTTGCTGCATGTGTGTTTTCTTTAATTGCAGTGAGTGGGGGCTACTCTTTGTTGTGGTGTGCAGGCTTTGTATTATGGTGGCTTCTCTTGTTGTGGAGCATGGGCTCTAGAGAGCAGGTTTCAATGGTTGTGGCACACAGGCTTGGTTCCTCCGTGGCATGGGGGATCTTCCCGGACAAGGGATCGAACCTGTGTCCCCTGCATTGGCAGGCAGATTCTTAACCACTGGATCACCAGGGAGGTCCATGATTATTTTTAATAGGACCAGTTGGTAGGAACCCTTTCTGTCCCCACCACTGCCTCACTGGATCTCTGCCTGTTTCTATCAGCCTCATTTTAACAAAGCAGATAGGGGAGTCCTTCTCTGAAGTAGGATTGCTATGTATGGTTGTGAAGGTTGCATACTATAAGAATGATACATTGAAGGGGGTTCCATTTATATTTCACACATTCTCAATTTGTATACATAATTGTAATTTTCTGGTAGGTGGCAGTAAAGTGTGTGTTCTAATGAAAGCAATATATTACAGTGCTTTTCTGACTATTGGAATAAAGCATCTCAAAGAAGGGGAAACTTTTTCCAATTCACATTAAGACACCTGGGAGCTAAGTGGTAGCCCTTGAAGTTCCAAATTTCCAACAGGTCCCACCAGCGGTTTGTTGGGAATAGATTTACTGGTGAAGTCAAGTCCTTCCTTGGCTGAAAATTCTACTGTGGCTTCTATCACATACTGGAGAGAATTCTGCATAGAGACATCCAAACAGTGGAAATTCCAGAATTTCTGTGCTGAAGAGACATCAGGTAGCAATCAATTGGATGGAGGGGACAAGGAAACAGGATGAAGCTGCACTAGCAGGGCAAATGTGCAGTGTTCATTTTTTAGTTTGGGGAACAGCACCGCACATGACCCCTTGACCCCAATTCCTTCTCCACTTGGTCTCTGCCACTTTCTCTTGCCTCATCTCTGATAGCGCTACGGCAAGTCAGTGACCCAGTGGTACCCAGCTACTAGAGATGACAGATCATTTACATGTAATGCACAAGAAGTCCACTCTTCCTCCTGCCCCAACATGCTGCCCTTAATCATTGCTTCCTCTTCAGAGTCTTCCTTGATGACCAAATCTCACTCCATGCACACTCAGTCACTCTCTTCCTGTGCTCACTTCTCTACTCACGCTCAGTCTCTCATTCCTGTCCGACTCTTTGCAACTCCATGGACTGTAGCCCAAGGACTCCTCCTCATGGAATTTTCCTGGCAAAGAATAGTGGAGTGGCTTGCCATTTCCTTCTCCAGGGGATCTTCCCGGCCCAGGAATCAAACCCACTTCTCCTATGTCTCCTGCATCAACAGGCGGAGTCTTTGCTGCTGAGCTACTGGGGAAGCCCCATTCTTGTGCTCATAGACACTTTATACTAGTTCCTTTTAAGTAATGTTTTCTCTCTCTGTAATAAAATGACAAGTTCATCTGTCTAGATGTCCCACTAGACCATAGACTCCTTGGAGCCTGGACTGTGTCTTTTCAACCTTGGTAAACCCTCCTTGACACTGCAGTAGCTTGAAAAATGTGCCGACAAGCACTGTTTCACAAGTATAATTCCTAAGCATCTTCTGGTGATAATAAAGAAAACAGTCTTTTAAAATTATGCGTTTCAAAACTGTGGCACATGCCACAAGCAGCTTCTAAATCCTTTAAGTCCTAAAAGGCTGTTTTTTCCATCTGTCATGTCTGCATTGAGCCTGATAATTTCTCAGGAGCTGAGATACAAATATGCATCACATGGGTACACACACAGATAAGAATAACACCTGCAATTATGGGATCATGGATCAAATAGTCCTGGCTGCGAGCTTCATAATTCATGGTATATGTTCACCCTGCTTTGGGGTTGGAGAGAAAGCTCATACCCCAATATGGCAAGACTGGGTCACTGAGAGCCCTAGGACTGTACAACTGGGCAGCCCCCCGGGTCTCGTTGTAGCTGTTTCAGTTTCTGTCAGCCTTGATCACTAGGGAAACGTACATAGTATGTGGCCTTTGTAACCCCAACACATAAGTCTTTTCGGAAAGTTGCCATTCTCAGGCGTCAGGCACGTCAGTGAGCCAAGTCCCCAGGGTGACTCTGGGGCAGAAATATCTCAATTTAAAAATATTCTCCAAGTGGCTTATAAAATGTGTACAAGTTCATTTACTTTCCACCCCTGTGTGCTGCAGCAGCTGGCCTGTCTGTGTTTATTTGTTCCTCTGACTTGTGCTTATTCAGAGAGACTGCATTTGTCTCACTGTCTCCTCCATGAGAGGCAGGGAGCCCCTTAGAACAGAGGTCAGCAACCTCAGACAAGTGCTGGGTCCCGCTGGAGACTCTCGTACTCCAGGGATGGAGATCAGGGGAGCGCTGATCCTCCTGAGGAGTCTGGGGACAGGTTGGGCAGCAGTGGACAGGGCTGGTGTGAGCTGGGTGGCGGTGTGGCCATCCAGAGAGGACAGTGTCCTTGTGTCATTTCCACTGGCCCTGGAAATCAGCCCTGGTGCCATCTTGATTTCACTTACAGTGGGTGGCCAGTCCTGCCCTGGCTGTGTCCTTGGAGGCACAGTGGATGGAGTCACTAGTCTAATAAAGCATAGTGTCAGAGGATAGTTGAAAAACATTATAAATATGATTTAAACAATAGAACCCATGGTGTTGAGAACAGAGGACTGTCTCTAAATTCCTTTTGGCTGGCAAGGTGACCTAGGGATAGTCCAGCTAGTGGGCCAGGGCTGGAGAGGGAATTCTTCACCCAAAGTTTTGGGGGGATGTCATCCAAAGAAGACATCCAAATAGGCTGTGAAAAGAGGGGGGACTGGGAAGAAAAAATGAGGCCTGGTCTTCAGCCCTTACTTACTACATGACCTCAGCGTCCCATCGGCCCCGACTGACCTGAGGGATTCTGGGCTTGGTTGTGACTATGACCACCTCAAGTGCCCATGGAGAGGACAAAGGGGCCATATCTTAAAGCCTGTTTACATTGTTCCAGTTGGCAATTGATTCTCTACTTCACGCCTCTTCGTTCATGTTTGTTTTTTCTTTTCCTCTCATGTTGGAGAGAAACATGATTCAGTTAGTGATCAGTCACTAACTGAACTTCCTGACCTTGGATTTCTGCTTTCAATGCCAGTGCCACCGATACCCCACCTTGGGTTGGTCTGATTTGCTTCACGCCTTCATGAGGTTCAATGAACCTCATGTAAAGCCTTTCACATTCCTGATCTCATTTGATCAACACAGCAATGCTGAGGGGAAGGCAGAATTATTAAAACCATTTCACAGATGAGAAAAATGAAGAAGAGACGTAAAAGGTCACTCAGCTGCAAAACAGTGGAGTCAGAACCTGAACCCAGAACCCAGACACTCTTTTCCTGTTTCAGGGAATCACTTGTGTCAGTAGATCACTGATAGCCACACTTTTTTTTTGCAGTGTCACATGTTTGCGCATGCCCTCCAATGTGTATATGTTTACTAATCTACAAATTATAAAATGTATGGCAGTGTTATTCAGTACATATATTTAATTATATTAAGTACATTATATTATTATTTACAATGTGTAAAAACATATTCAAAGGGGGTAAAAAGTGATATAAATAATATTAAAAAAGAACCCGCAGGGGCCAACATTTGTTGGTAGCAGCTGGGAACATGGGGATTTATTATTCGGACCACTTTCACATATGTTTGAGATCTTTCTTAATAAAAAGTTAGAGAAAACTAACAAAGAGACAAGGAAGGGCCAACAAACAGTCATGGAAGCTTTGGCCAGGAGGCTCAGATGCAGGCAGGGTGGAGAGAGGGCTAGAAATTGCCCTGGCATCGCCTGGCGTTGTGTGGCTCTATTGTTGCCAGGTATGTGGGCTGACAAAGGCAAGGGCTTGGTTAACTCAGGTTCTGTGACTTCAGTATCATCACTAGAGTCTCCTCCCTCTCATCACTCAGCTCCTCCCTCTGTGAGAGGCTCTGCGGTGTGGGGATCAAAAGGCTGAACTCTGGAGATGGACATGAACCCAGCAGAGTCACAACCCCAGCTAACTGGTTATACAGTCCTAGGAAGTCACCTAACTTCTGGGTGCCTCGATTTCCTTCTCTGCGAAGAGGAGAGAATAACAGTGGCTACTTCGGTGCGTTGCTGTGAGGATCAGATGATATATGCATATAATTTACATAAATTAACATATGACGTAGCGGGACAGTCTTTGAAACATAATGCTGTGTGTGCGTGCTCACTCCCTTAATGAAGTCTGACACTTTTCGACCCCATGGTCTGTAGCCCGCCAGGCTCCTCTGTCCATGAGAAGAATACTGGAGTGGGAGGCCGTTTCTTTCTCCAGGGGATCTTTCCGACCAGTGAGTGCTATATGTTACTTGCTATTGTTATGACAGTTAGCGTTCCCTCTGCCCTTATCTTCCTAAACATAATGGATCTGAATTCATAGGGATCCTGCTTTCCCTATTTCCACTCTCTGATAATCTCTGAAAACGTCTAAATTAAAAAGATGCCAATCCTTTCTGGCTAAGTGGGAGTTGGAAAAAAGGAAAATGACTGCCATACATTACACATCGTAGGGGGAAAAATTTGGTGGAAAGAGGTGAGGTGATGATTCAGGAAAGCAGGTTGTATTATAAATTCAGCCCTGTGGGACATGCTGTCCACTTCAGTGGGTGTCTATTTCATCATTTCTGAAGGGAGTAATTTGGAACAGATGGCCCATAGGCTCCCTTCAGAGTTGACACTTTTTGACTGTGTTCTGAGTTACTTTGAGCTGTGATCATTCAAAATTTTTAATTGCAAGCATTCTCTTTAGAGCCCAATCACAAGGAATCCTCTAATCTTAGATTCTGACATAGGCCACATAACTATGTGCCCATATGCCAGGTTCCCTTCAACACAACAAATCACAAACTATGTGTTAAACTTTTAAAAGAACAAAATGTATCATAGTTTTTATTATATGTACATGATGATTGGTTGATAACATAGGAATTCATAGCAGAATGCCAAATAAAAATATACACGTCATATAAGCTAATCTCTGTTTAGACAGTTGTATATAGCTAGCTATATAAATCTCTGTCTACTTAGAGACATTTTATGATACATATATCTAGTTATATGTAGGTTAGATAAATCTGAGATACGTATCAGATACCAACCTATTTCCAAGATCCTGTGTTACTAGGAACATCTAGAGTAGTGCACTTAAGAAAGAGAAAGTATTCATGGTTTTAAAAATTTTATAAAAAGTCAATATGTGTCTATATATAAATAAAGATGCTGGTATTAAAAAGCAGAGATATCACTTTGCTGACACAGGTCCTTATATATAGTTAAAGCTATGGTTTTTCCAGTAGTTATGTACAGATGTGAGAGTTGGACCACAAAGAAGGTTGAGTGTGGAAGAATTGAGGCTTTTGAACTGTGGTTCAAAAAACTGGAGGAGACTCTTGAGAGTCCTTTGGACTGCAAGGAGATCAAACCAGTCAATCCTAAAGGAAATCAACTCTGAATATTCATTGGAAGGACTGATGCTGAAGCTGAAGCTCCAATACTTTGGCCACCTGATGCCAAGAGCTGACTCATTGGAGAAGACCCTGATGCTGGGAAAGATTGAGGGCAAGAGGAGAAGGGGACGACAGAGGATGAGATGGCTGGATGGCGTCAGTGACTCAATGGACATGAGTTTGAGCAAATTCAGATAGTGAAGGACAGGGAAGACTTTCGTGCTGCAGTCCATGGGGTTGCAAAGAGTAGGACATGACATAATGACTGAACAACCATATAGATTATGTAGATATAGTCACAATTAACAGTGTTTATTTGCGGGTGGTGGCATTTAGGTGATTTTCTACATTTTTCCTTATGACTTATGTATTGTGGAATTTTTTTTTTTTTTTACACTGAGTATCTATTATTTACATAATAAGAAGACAAGGTTCTTTTCATGGTGAAAAGAAGAGTATCTAAAGGACACTAAAGAGATACTGGTATAAAAAATGAAATTATTAAAAGGAAAAATTAACAAAATGTCTGATGTAAAACCTAAACCAAGAATACCAAAATCTCTTTAGATAAGAAACCTCTAACACATGTTTTTAAATGCAATATTTTAGATCTTTTTGTTTCCAAAAGAGTTCTAGGGCTTCTCAGAGAACTCATAGGACTGCTTACCTCTAGGAAATGCCAGAAAATGTTTGAAGCAGGGACAATTTAGCCTTTTGAGGACAATCAAGTACTTTGACACTTGGGTAGCACATTTCTTTGTGTAGACTCTTAATTTTCTTTAGTTTTATAAAACTCTTCAACTCATTACATTTGTACTGGGTGTTTCAACGTGTTAATATTGGGTCACCCTCACACTAGTCCCCCGTCTCAATTTGCCCTCCCCTTGACAACAAACACAAACAAACACATAGAACTCAGTCCTTCTTTGGAAGAGAGCTGCCCCCCAACTCCAACCCTGCCCCTGCGTTGACCCAGGCTTGAGTCTGGGCAGCGGTTCTCACAGTCGAGCTATCAGGGGAGCTAGCGAGGGAAATTGGAGCAGCCCTGAGCTGATAGCCTCCCAGACGTTGTGTCTGGGCAGGTGAGGGACCTGGGCACACTTCCTCCTCCATGGACCTTGCCTCCTTTGCTTTGAAGCTGGTTCTCTGGGGAACAAAGAGTCTCACTGAACAGTCTCAGTTCTCACTGCTCTGGGTATGGGTGCAGAGGGTGATGAGGGCTAATGTCATAGGACCTGGTGCCCCAGGACTGCCTAGGAACTGCTCATTTGCCCCTTGTGACCTCAGGTGAGGGCCCCCCAGAAGCAGAGTAGGCAACATCCCATTTGACGACAGAAGAATTTCCCTTAGCCCCATGCATTCCTCTTGCCTGAGCTCACTCTCATTAAAAAAAATTCTACACAAAATATTCATTTAATACTTAATGTAATAGTAGTAGAGGATATTTATAAAGCACTCATAAAGTGCCAGGGGCCAAAGTAAATGGTTCACATGTGTGGGCTAATTTAATCTTCATAATAGCTCCATGAGGTAAGAACTATTATCACCCCATTTTACAAATGAGAAAACTGAGTTCAGGAGCTTCTTTCTCTAAGCTACACAATGAGCGAGTAGCTCGGTGGAATTCATACCCAGGTCTGTCTTTCCCCTGAACCCATGCACTTACCCTCTGATCTGTGCAGCCACACACTGTGCTCAGAGCTGTAACTGAGACAGGCATTATTCTTTCCTTCATGGAGTTCACAGGCTACTAGGAAGAAGAGAAAAAAAGAGTTGCTTATATCTGTGAAATAGGAATGAGAGAAGATGCAAGGTTTATAGCACTCACAGCAGAGAGAGCTAACCCAGGCTGGCCAGATGGCTCACCTGTATGTGTGAAACCACATTCTAGAATAGTTTGTGAACATAAGTTTAGCTTAGAAAACATAATCTGGCTTACCCAACACCTTGTCTGAATCTTTGTTGTTAGGGAGCTGCAGATTCTTGGGTGATTCAGGCTTAACACGAGTTGGAGTTGGTGGGTAGGAAAAGGTGAGGCACAACACATGTAAACTCATTATGGTAATCAAGGATGTTCCTTCTGCAAATCCTTCACTTTGCGTTCCCCAACAGTCTTGGAATTCCATCTGGCGAGAAGAATGGGAGGTTTTTTTCCTCTCCAAAACATTTCTTTTGGCAAATATTGGAAGATTCTAAACTTCATCAGGGATCTTCTGGGCCTTTGAGAGGAAACAGATTCCTTTTGTAATAATAGCACAAGCACAGCCATTCATCAGTTTCATCCCAAAGCTCCTTTCCAAGGCTCAGTGTGGAAGTCTGCAGGCCAGAGATACTAGAAAGGGCTAATCTTGGTGTTGGCCTATTGGAATAGAAATTTAAGTATTTAAATAGTTCATGATTATTCATATTTCTACCCATCTCTATGAAAATCAAACATTATATTTTATTCTAAGCATTCTGACAAATAAAGGATTTCTTTCCCAAATCTCTTCCTTGCAAAGATAGCAGAAGGGTCGTATCAAAATATATGACATCTGATGGGGCTTCTTCAAAACAAGAAAATGGCTAAGAACTTTATAAAGTGTTTATTAAGGGGATGGTGAAAGTCAAGGTTTCATCAGAAGCTTATAATTGCCAAGTCAACAATTTTGAAAAAACTCAACTAAGTTCTACGCTGCCTGGTAAACATGCTCTTACCCTTTCGATTCATTTCAACACTCATTTATTGATCCTTGACTACAGAATGCAGTGGGAAAAGGAACTTTAACTTTGTAGTCTAAAAGTCTGGGTTCTAAACCCATTTGTTAAAGGCTTGATTTTGACTAAATTCTTTAAACTCTCTGTTCTTCAGTATCTTCATCTGTTGAGTAAAGATCACATTTACCTGATAAGAACATTTAAAGCAGGGGTCTCCAACCTCCGTGATCTAATGCCTGATGATCTGAGGTGGAGCTGATGTAATAATAATAGAAGTAAATGTCCAGTAAATGTAATGAGCTTAAATTATCCCCAAACCATCACTCACTCCATCCCCCAGTTTATGGAAAAAATTGTCTTCCACAAAAGCAGTCCCTGGTGCCAAAAAGGTTGGAGACTGCTGAATTTTAAAGAATCAATATAGTGATTTCAAGGGGCCTAATAAATGACATCCCCACTCTCTGCCCACATTAGGAAAAATGAGAGAAAGAGACAGGAGGGACAGGAGGAATGAAATCATCATGCCCTTTCTTACTGATGAGATGAAGGCTTATAGCTTAGGGTATATAGTAACAGTGGGCTTTACTTCCCAGTCACCCACCAGTGCTGGCTGCTGCTCTGCCCCTGTCAAATGGTGATACAGGAGGAGCAGGCTAAATATTTGCTTCCTGTCCACAGCCAAGGCAGCTCTCCCAGAGCAAGGCAGGAAGGGGCTGAGCTACCCATTCCCAGAGAGTTGCAGGATGACTCATGTGGGTAAAGGCACATTGGCCTTTGGGGACCCTTCTCCCCATACAAACTATTAAAAATTATATACGCATGCATGTTCAGTCAGTTCTTTGTGACCCTATTGACTATAGCCTGACAGGCTCCTCTGCCCATAGGATTCTCCAGGCAAGAATACTGGAATGGGTTGCCATTTCCCACTCTAGGAGATCTTCGGCATCCAGGATTTGAACCCATGTCTCCTGTGGATCCTGCATTGCAGGCAGATTCTTTACCACTGAGCCACCTGGGAAATTTCCAAATTATATGTGCATTGGCATAAAGATGAAGATATTGATATATTTTAAACGCTTTCTTTGACCTAACCTAAACATTTGTCTTTTTCTTAATTTAAAAAAATTAAACCATTTTTAAGATTTAGGGTGGGCCCCTAAAAGTATTGTGGACCCTCACCACTGTGCTGAATGGGTAAGTCAGCCTTGAGTGCCCAATCTTTGTTGCCAAATTTCCCAATGAGATCGTCCCCTCCTCCCTTCTTGGGGAGGACTGTGGGGGACCAAAGTGAAGGCCTTAGGTGTTGTTCCAGATGGAGATAAGAATTCAGGGAACAGGAGGTTCCCAGATGCCCAGGCAAGTGTTAAACAGAAGAAAGGTGTGATGTAGCCTAGACTGTGAGTATCACCAAGATAAATAAGACTTTCTCTCTGCCTTCAAGAACTAATTAGAACACAAAGCACAGGGAAATCAGCGGAAAACTGGAGAACAAGTCACGTGCTGAGGGAATTTCCAGACACAAATGCTTGAGGTGGTGATGTTTGAGCTTGGCCTTGAAGGATAAAAGACTTTTGCTAGACAAGGTAGTATGGGGTGGAGTGAAAAGGCCGTTCCAGACTGTGAGACTAGCTAAAGACCCGGGTTCACTAGAACACATGGATGTGCTGGGAATTGAATTCAAAAAAGCACCCACTTACCATACTCTTCTGGCTCCCATGGACTGTCTGTCTGATGTATTATTGTATTCTAACAATGGATGGGAGGGAGGAAACATTTATTTAGTGCCTACCACGTTCCCAGTGCTTTATAGGCATCACTTCATTTCATCTTCACCCCAGGGGCTTGAGGTGGATACTATTATCCCCACCTTTTCAGACAAGGAAGTTGAGACCCTCAAAATATAAATGAGTTTAACCAGGGCCCAAGAGTCTTTCTGACATTAGCAGAAGTCAGAAGCCAGGGCTCTTGACTGCCAACCCAGAGTTCTGTTCCCTGCTCCTTGGAAACGTCAAAAGGGGTTTTCTGAGAGCTATACAAAGAGGAGTTCTTGAAGTTCTGTCCTAGGTAGAATGTTGTCTCAGAGCTTCGTTTCTGATGTTCCACCATGCACGCTTTCAGACTCTCGGGATGATTTTCCTCACACTGATCATCCACCTGTTGAGGGCACCTCCTTCATCCCATGCAGGATAACAGATTCCTGCTGTTTCAGGGTCTCTACTTATGATTCCCGAGGAGGGGCTGGTTCTAGGTACCCAACCACAGGTGTTCATGTGTCCCTATCCCAAGATCCCGTTAGACCCATGGGAACTAACACATAGTGGTCAAGTAGCTAATATTTAGGAGGCACCTGCTCTGTGCCAGGCACTGTGTTTAACACATTCTTGACTCATCGTTTAATCCTCTCAACATTCCTCTGACATAGGCATTATTAGAATTTTACAGATAAGGACACTGAGACTCAGAGAGACCATGTAACTTTTCCAAGGTGACACAATTTGGTGGTGACACAACTTTTCCAGGTGACACAGTCCTGCTGGAGTCAGGATTTGATTCCTGTAGCCTGACTCCAAACTCTCACCCTGAACCACAATGGGGTCCAACCTCTTGTGATACTTAGAGCTTCACATTAAGTCTAGTGTTTGTGAGAAATTGGCCTCTCTGCTTTTCTTCAATTAATTCCGGTTTCTCAAAGTTCTTCAGTATTTTGAATCTTTTCTTTGTTACCTTTCAAGTTATCCTTTATAGGCATGCCTTTTATCTTCTTAGAATTTTGTTATTTGAAAAATTTCTCATTCAGAAATTATTTTCTTATATCTGTATTTTATCCATTCCTTTGGTTATTTGATTTTTTTTCTTTTTGTTTTTTGCTCCTTGGCTTTTTCATCTTCTACTTGCAATGGCCAGAGGGTAAGGATGGAAACTTGAATGTGGAATTCTTGGGCCTGAAGTCACCTCAGGAGTCTTCCCTCTTCCCTCTGTCAGGGCTGTGCCATGAGGAAGCATCTGTAGATTTTATCTCTTAGCATCCATCCCTCTTTGTCATCAATACCAAGATTCTGCTTTGGGGGCCCTGCCGTTTCCCTGTTGATATTTGAGGAAGTATAACAAGGGGGTACCACACTGCCTCAGCTTGAAACCCTGCTCTGCCACTAGACCATCTGTGCACACTTGGACTGCTAATTCAAACTCTGTGGCGGAGTTTCTTCATTAGAATAGTACCTGCCTCATAGGGTTACCGTGAGAAGAAAATATGCATAAATATAGTGCTTAGAACAGTGCTAGGTAGAAAATAAACACACCATAAACATTAGTGATTTGTATCATTAATCTTTTCCAAGGCTTGGCTGAGCGAATGTTCTTTCCCTGGAATTTGAATCTTGAGCAGAATGAGAGAAAGACAGAAAGCATTAAAGCTGATTTACTCAGATAATTGTGCCTCCAAAGAAGTGGTTAATCAGCTCCTGCTCCTTGGATCCTCATCTGGTCCTTCTTGAATCTGGAGTTGCAGAAGATTCTTTTATTCGGCATTCCTCTCCCAACACTCTGCCAACAAATGTGCCCCCCCCCCACCTCATTTTGTTCTTCCTCTTCCTCTTTCCTCTCCTTCTCCTTCTCCTTTCTCTTCTCCTCCTTTGGCTAAAAGTAGGAAGTGTTAGTTTCTGATACTTCTTGACAAGAAACTTTACTGAACCAGCATCCCTTGAAAATGGCCCTTTAGCCTTGGCTTAAATCCTTCCATAAAACACCTCTCTCTTTAAATTGGTAAACTCTAAAAGTACTTCCTCATAGCAGAAAAGGTGTGTTAGGTGCTCAGTCATGTCCGATTCTTTGCGACCCCATGGACCGCCAGGCTCCTCTGTCCATGGGATTCTCCAGGCAAGAATACCGAAGTGGGTTGCCATGCCCTCCTCCAGGGGATCTTCCCAACCCAGGGACTGAGCAGATTCTTTGCTGTCTGAGCTATCAGGAACAGAACAGCTTTCTAGGACCCTGGGACCAGAATGTTTGGAGCCTGGCTCAGTTATTTACTTGCTATGTAGCTTGGTCAAGCAGCTTAACTTCTAGGCCTAAGTTTCTTCATCTTTAAAACAGAGGTTGATAATATTTAATAGTCACCACTTCATGGTATTGTTCTGAAGATTATGTGTCGGAAGCACTTAGATGCCAATAAGAGTAAGTTGTTGGCCCCCTTCCTCCCCCTCAATCCCCGCTCAGGTCCTAGCCCCAGCCTCTATAGCTGCCCAGAATGAGCTAAATCCTCCTCTTCATGCCAACCTTTCAAATAATGATGCTTTCCTCATTTCCTTCTTTCCCACAGGCTCAGCCCTGCTTCCTCTGTAAGCCACTGTTTGTGGGCCAGACTGATCAAACTGGAAACAGCCCGTCTTTAACTGGCCTGCCTCATTACTTAATCACAAATAAAGCACAA